CAATTGTCCGACATGTCAGTACTGGGCAAAGTAACGGTCAATGGCTTGGACCCGATGGCAAGGAACCATTTGGCCTTTTGTGAGCTGGGGTGAGTACTGGAGGGGTAAAAGTGAGCTGGTATCTTACTGAACCCTATGAGAACCAACACCTATTTTCTCGCCACTAGCCATAGGCCCATCTGTGTAATATGATTCGTAATATAGTACTCACTCTGTAAAGTAATATAAGAGCGTTTAGATCACTAAAGTAGTAATCTATGAGGAGGGAGTACTGTATATGATGCTTAGATGGGATTCTCTCTTATGTTGAGAGAAATGGCCATGCTACCTTATACTACCTCGTACGAAATCGGGGAGGGGGTGACGGCGACATAGGACGATATCGAAGGTGTCGATGGCAGCGGCGGTGGTGTGGGAGGAGACGGGGGAGGGATTGCGAGTCGGACTAGTGGCGTCTTAGTGGGGTAGTTTTATTTCTTTTCATTTTTTCATTTCAGTTCGAATTGGACTAAGGTCTAGGTGGGCCTTCGGGCTCGCAGGGATACTATTCAATTCAAATTAAAAATAAACTACACGCACATGGTTTATCGGTAGCGTTTGCATAATTGTGGACTCTGCTAGGTAGTTGTATAATTCTTTTGTTGTTTTAATATTGTAACTTATTCAAAAATATTTTTAATTGTGGTATGAAAGATCTAATGGTCTTTATTAAGTAGAGAAAAAGTTGAAATGCCAACCGACAAATACCACCACGATTTCGCATTCAAACTTGACTCGTTCTCTCTTGAAACCATGATTATTCCTTCGAGAAGGTGCAGTTCCTAAGAAGTTTAGATGATCACTTTTTGAAAACGTTCTCAATTTTTTACTACAATCTTTGGTTGTCATGTCATGACGCAATGCCAAGTTTCATATTTTTAATCTTTGTTCGCATTTTTTTGAAAATAAAAAACAAATAAGCATCATTTTGGCGGTCGACTCTTGCCACCATGATGTTTGGAATAAGTTTTATTTTCCTGGATAAGGCCATATATTTAGTTACACAAATACAAAAATCAAGCCATTTTCGTCTATTATTTCGTGTACGTGTAGTTCAGGTACTCCCTCCATTTTTATATACAAGGCCACAAACTCAAATTACAGGTACCAAGGTAAAATTTAGTACATGTTGTCCAACCCAAATTTTTTCTCGTTTACTAGGATCATTAATACCCCGCATGCATGCAAGAAAACTGAATAGAGGAAGTAGTTGAGTGTCATTATGACTGCATGCATACAAGTATTAAGCAAGTTGCTAAAACAAAGAAATATTATTAATTTTTGCCTCGATTACTGTTGGTAGCCTTGTATAGATGCAAAATGTATATTCCATAATGGTCTTGTATAAGTAAATGGAGGGAATATGAATTATATAAGCTAAATGACAATAAACACACTTAATTGTTTATATACTAAACGAAGATGAAACGATGCCAAATGTTTCAGAAAGGTGCATGGGTATGTGTACCTTCATGGTCAACTATTGTTCCTGCTTTCCTAAACAAGAATTAGCCGCAGTTGGTAGCATGGTACTTGATTAAGGTCACACTTCACACGTAAGGTAGTCCTATCTGTTATTATATATGCATCAGAGATAGCTAGGACATATAGGTTTTCCCTTTGCCCGAGACCCAAGTTGATTAAAGACTCTTGGATTAGGATTTTGGGAAAGGTGCATGATGTGTATACACTATATACGTACCTTCTGATCGATCGATCATCCCAATCAGACTCTAGCTAGCTAGCCTCGATCCGACGGTCAACCGTCCGTGCTTCCTGCTATCTTAAGAATTGCATCCAGATTCTGTTCTTCTGTGGTTATGCATCCGCAATAGAAATTGCCATGAAGTGGACCAGGATAAAGGTGGTGTTGATCCCGGACGTGGGGTGTCATGCACTCAAAGCAAGACGTACTAGCTAGCCCAAGCCCGCTGTGCATGCACGCAGCGCTCGTTTGAAGATATGCCGCCCGCTTTACGTGCCCGTGCCGGCCGGTCAGCATCGGTCACCCTCGACCCCTACACACAGACGCCCTGCAGCCACGTACAGGCGCCGGGTACAATTAATGGAAACAGTGCCTCAAGCGCATGATATCATTTTGTCCCATGCATACATGCATGCAAGGCGGCGTGTGGAGCTTCCTTCCTTCCTCACCACGCCCGCCGGCCAGCCGTCTCCTGCGCAGCGGGCACTGCACGACGCACTCCTCGATCGCCTCATGGCGACTCCTCCGCAACACCATCGACCCCCCTCCCCTCCCCTATAAAACCCCATGAATGCAACACATCCAGCAATCTCATCAACACACAGGGCTGGCATAGCTAGTAGTTTAGCTATAGCAGCCACACACACACGCACACGTACACTTACTCGGCTACCTCCGTTTGCGGCTTTGTAGCGCAATGGCGAGGGCATTGACCATGGGCGTAGTCGCCGCGGCGGCCGTGCTGGTGTTCCTGTGCGCCACCGCCGTGCCGGCCGCTGCCCAGGGAAAGAAGGGGCTGCCCAAGAACTCCCACGTGATCCACCCGAAGCAGTTCGGGAGGAGGGAGCAGGTGCTCTCCTGCGACGACACCGCCGACGGCAACACCCCCTGCGTCGCCACCTGCGACAAGCGCTGCCCTAACGAGTGCGTCGTCCTCTGCCCAGGCTGCAAGACCTACTGCAGTAAGCATCATATTTTAGCATAAGTCCATACTCCCTCCTTCAAGACATATAAGAGCGTTTAAATCACTAGTTACAGAGAGAGTACTAGCTTTGCTGATATGAATTGATGGAGATGCTTAAATTAATTAATCTCCTTTACAAGTCTGTGACTTCTACCCCGGCGTGTCATGCGGGGACCCACGCTTCACGGGCGCGGACGGCAACAACTTCTACTTCCACGGCAAGAAGGATCAGGATTTCTGCGTCGTCTCTGACACCGACCTCCACATCAACGCCCACTTCATCGGCAAGCGCAACCCCACCATGAGCCGAGACTTCACCTGGATCCAAGCCCTCGGCATCCGCTTCGCCGACCATCGCCTCTACATGGGCGCCCAGAAGACCGTCAAGTGGGACAGCAACGTCGACCACCTCGAGCTGGCCTTCGACGACATGCCCATCGAAATCCCTACCGCAATCGACGCCCAGTGGCAATCCACCACCGTGCCCGCATTGACCATCACAAGGAGCGCCACAACTAACGGCATCAGGGTCCAACTCAAGGGAGTGTTCGACATCTTGGCCAATGTGGTGCCCATCACAGAGAAGGATTCCCGCATCCACAACTACGGCGTAACCGAGGATGACAGCCTCGCGCACTTCGACATCGGCTTCAAGTTCCACAGCCTCACCAACAACGTCCACGGTGTGCTTGGCCAAACCTACCGCACCGACTATGTCAACAAGCTTAGCGTGAGTGCCAACATGCCAATTATGGGCGGCACCTCTAGCTACGTCACCTCCGACATCTTCTCCACCGACTGCAAGGTTACCCGTTTTGGCCGCTCTTCGGGAATCTCCATGGTCACTGGCATGGCCACTTAAGCATCATGCGTCGACGGCTAAGCTCTAAGCTAGTGTCTTAACTTGACATCCTAGAGTTTGCCGAGGAATAATTAACACCTATCTGTGACAGGCTGGTACCACCATGTTACACACGATCATGTCATCTTTAATACAAGCACAAGCATATGGTACGATCGATTGATTTTCAAATGAAATAAAGGAGTTTACCCAAGACTATGGTGCCTTTGATATCCTTGTTATGTTTTATTTTTAACTTCCAACCTATTCATCAACTATCATGTGGTACAAAGAACACCAAAAGAAACAAAAATTACATCCAGATTTGTAGACTATCTAGCTACGACAATTGAAGTAAGCCAAAGGCGTGCGCCACCATGAATAATCAACACCTATCTGCGACAGGCTGGTACCACCATGATACACACGATCATGTCATCTTAATACTCACATAAGCATGGTTTGTTCAATTGATTATCAAAAGAAATAAAAGAGATTACCGAAGACTACGTTTCAGTTGAAATACTTGCTACGTTGAATATTTTACAATATATACCATGCTATGAGGCATGGCCCGAAACACAGTGAAAAAAGAAATGCTAAAGTACCCGTTGAACAATTCACACCGTAGGAGGACAAAAGGTAGTCATGCTGAAAAAAACATGGCCAATTTGTGATCAAATAAGAAGGCACGAATATTTCTTTTGACAGAGATTGCTATAGAGAAAAAAGGTTACATGCTGCAATTGTGAGATCCGCATCCCCTCATAATTACTAACACTAGTTGAATGCTCGTGCATTGCCACAACCCGTTGTATGGTTAGATTTACGTCATCGTGTAAGAATATGCCATCTTTTTCACGCATTTCTACTTGATTGTGATTGATTAAATTTCACCAATATCATCAGGGTGCAAACATAATCTGTCATCATGATGTGATATTAAGATAAAACTGTTTAATAAAAACTTGACAAAAGGAAAGGACGATAACCACAATAAGTTTTTTGGACAATGAAAATAATTACATTGGGATAAAATTTATATTTGCCATCTGCACATCATTTTCTCGTAAAGAAGTTGGTGGATTTTTCGGCCCTTCCAAAAACATGAGATATTCCCGTGCGTGTAGGTGCAGGGAGTGATTTGGTATGTGTATGTTGTTGTATGGAGCTTGTTTTTCTTTGATATTGATTTGGTATGCGCCTGATCTAGTATGGAATGCTCAATTGTTTGGGAAAGCATGGGGTGGAAAAAAGATATATGAGACCAGGTCTCACGGGTAGCAGGTGAGACCCGACCTGATGAATGACACGTGGCATTCACAAATCA